GTTAGAGCATAAAATTTATTGTTTCAGTATTAGTTCCTTACAAATAAGCCATATTCGAGTGTGAGTTCTTTGAAACTCTTGCAAATTCTATGCTCACACAATTTGTATTAGCTGTAAATGCCAGCAAACATTCAGTTTATTTCTTTGCACCTCCTTCGGTTCACTAATATGTAAGTCGGCATTAGCTTTCCGCTTGTTTGCCATTTAAGTCTGCTGTCAAATGTTTGACTTAAACTGCAACTGCACCAACTTATGGCATTCAAATGGGCGCTCATAAATTTCAACAAATCATTTAAGCTTAAACACGCAAATTAAACGGGAGCAACAGTTGAGGCGGCAGCAGTGACTCAAGGAATATGCGCAGCGTCTACAAGAGTCGCAATAATAACAGAAAAATATGCAGTTAGCTTTAGTGGCCGTAAATGTCCTGCCTGCGGCCACAAGCAGCTGCTGCTGCCACTTGAGTGCGTATGCCACGCCGAGCGCCGGACGCCGGACGCGCCGACTGCCCACAACTCACATTCGGCTTGACTGGCTGTCACTTCCTGCTACCAATTGCCGGTTGAATGCCAGTGCTGCAGCTCGGACTATTTTTGTTGGTATATATGTTTGTTTTTCTTATTGCTGCTGCTGCGCTTTCGCTGTTCGGACTGTCATTGCTATTAGCAGTCGCATTGTTGCTGGCAGATAAACAATTTATTTCTTCCTTATGTTGCCACACACACACACACACGTTCGGTGGTGCACTCCCACCGTACAACAACAACAAGCATAGTAATGTATGCTGATCTGTTAACATTTGCACTTTACTGTTTGTTATTTATTTTTTTTGCTGCATTCTGCGGTTGCCCTAAAGGCTGCACAATAAAATTTACACTGCACATAAATTAAACGGAGAAAATTGATCCTAAGTAACCATACACACACACACATACATATACATACTAACACAAATTAATACAGTGTGTTCCAATGAGATTAGCACACATTTGGCTTTGCTTGCAGCTTGGAAATATTGCGCCAATACCAACGCCGTTCGGTGATATCGCTGCGGCATGCCACTCGCTCCTTGCTTGCTGGTGCTTACTGTGCAAGCGCCAATTCCAAGCGGTGTAATGCACACGTCGCCGCTGTGTTTGCCGTTCAAGTGACCCGATTGTCGCTTGTAACTTCGTTTAACTGTACTTGTAATGTGTCCACTTGGAATTTAATGCTGCCATATCCGCTCCTAAAAGCCTGCATTCCAGCTCACCAAAAGGCAAAACTAATTCGTTGATTATATTTAGTGTCACTTTGCAATTGCTAAAGTGTTGCTAGCTATAACAATGTGTGTATGCGTGTGTTATGTGTTGTTGTAGCCATTGATAAGTTGAATTTATGCAAATGTTTGCCTTAAGAAGCCAATAAGTTCAGCAGATTGAGTGCAAATAGATTGTATTACATATATGCTACATTTGTTTTATATATACATATGTCTGCATGTCGAGGTTAAAATAATTTTGCAGCGAGGTCAGTAATGAAAGCTTTAAACACTTTTATCCCAAGATTTACAAGGAAAATGCGAAGAAATGGTATGCATAGTGCATATAGATCATAGATAAATGCATATGTAAAAAGAAATCTGCTAGTATGCCAGAAAGCAAGATATAATCAAGTTCAACCACAAACTTGAGCTTGCCGAGCTTACAATATATTTAAGATTTTATTGCTAATTTTAAGGGTTCCAACAAGTAGATTTAATAAATAAATAAAAATATAATATATTCAAATTTGACGTGGAGATTTTCACGTATTCTAACACAATTCTTTATTATCGCGCTCAAAATAGGCTCTTGAGCCAACACAAATATGCCCAAGGCTTTATTTACTGCTTCATACACTTGTGTTAAGGCTACGCTCGGATGATCTTCGGCTTTGGAATGACTTTTAATGGCTTCACTGGACTCGTGACTCCTTACGTTACCCGAAGTGGATTTTTTAGTTTCGAAAGCAGCAAAAAGTTATAGCGAACCAAATCTGGCGAATACGGTAGCTACGCGAATCATCTCTTTTCATGTTTGGTCGAAAAGTCAGCTACAATCGTACTAGAATGTGATAGCGCATTATCGTGGTGTAAAATTCATGAATTTTCTGTTCACAATTATAGTTGTTTACGACAATTCTCTCACGTAGACTTCTTAAAATGGCCAAGTCGTATTACTTATTGACCGTTTGACCCTGTAGAATGAATGCGTCGTTAACAAACAGCTGTCTTTGCGATACCAGACAGAGTTCAGTTATGAGATTCATGAAGAGTAGTCATCCTTTGGAGTGCCTGCGTTTGACGCAAATTCCATTAGACTCTGTGACTGCACTATTGATACCTCTTCCAGTGTCTTATACCGTAGGCACCTCAAATGCTTAAAACGTTGCCTTCTCAATGCGGGACAAGTGCACAAGAGATACTCCATTTTTGAACTGGTGCCTTGTTCTTGACATTTCCTGCTGTCTTCTCGATCTGTCAGCTCCATTCTGCAGGCGTGTGCCGCCACCAAACAGTGACCAGTGCACATTCCGATCATGTTCCTACAGTCCCTTTTATCAAGTACCAGTATAGAATTTTGTATACTTTCGATCTAATGTTAAATTAAATAAATTTTATGATAATGTTATATTATAATCATGTCAATCGTGATTTCTGAAGCGTCGTTTAATGACAAACGGCTCGAAAAGGACTTTCTCTCGCTTAAAGTTGATTTTTCTCACATCGCTTTCGTGGAAGGATCTGCAAAAGCCAAAACAAATACAATCAGCTGAACTAATTTAAGCTGCCATAAATAGCTCAGTTCATCGTGCCGCTGAATCAGATTTCCGGAGCCAACTCAGATTTGAATTCTCCAGCCAAAATCACATAATTTAAAATATGGGGAGTATAATAAAGTAGTAATAAATAGTTTCTATAATACCACAAAAATAAATATTTTTTATATTTATTTTGCTGGCACACATGAACGCATGAAGTTGAGTTCATGAGAACACGACTATAAACAAAAAATATATACTATAAAAGTAAGAAATTGCACCGTAAAACTTGTGTGAATTAAAAGCATAAATAAATAAAAATATATAAAAGAGACAGATGTGAGTCAGCTGTGTGACTGCCACAAACTTTTACACTTGCGCACGCAAACACAAATAATATTCTTAGATTTTGTATACACTATTTTTTTCTTTAATTTTTCTTATTCGTCGCTCCTTTCAACTCCTTTCTTGAAGTTCATTGAAGCCGAGTTTATGCTGTTGACTTCCGTTTGGTGCACCAGCCATACAACAACAAAAACAAATAAAGCGAAACAAGCAAAACAGAAGCAACTTTTACTAGTTCATGTACATTAATAATTGTGTCTCGTACAGACGAGCATACAAGCAGAGCTAGTGGCAAGTTATTACATAAGCTTTGGTGAGAATTTCTTTATTATTTTCTTAACTTTTCTCCTTTTATATTGCCACTTTGCTTATATTATTATTTTGGTTCGTATGAAATATACCATTATCATTTTTCTTGATAAGTTTGCCAGTCGCGCAGCTTCCTATCACGCACCTCTGGGCGTTGTGCCGCTCTGGTCGAGCTAATGAGTCTCGTTAAAAATGTTTATTGTCTCAGGAAAAGGCGCAATTACTCGTAAAATGCAAACAATATTTTTAATTGCAACACCTGCCATAAAACGCAATGAGCTCAGTTGGGCGAACCTCAACGGTTAGTGTGGCACACACGCACTCATAAACCCGTATTCATACATGCGCGTTTACGTAATTTGTTGCTTGTTAGATAACACATGACGCGTTGATGCTTAGTAGGCTATCTCGGAATTATATTTAGACTATTCTGAACAAGAACAAATATTTAAAATAGAAAAAAAAATATAAATAAAAAATTTAACATATAGGAAATATTTTTAATATATATTTGTGGAGTTTGATTTGGATCATCTCGGCCCAAAAATTTCGACACTGTAGTAAACGTTCTGAATCAGACCTACCAGGGCATGCCTGATATTTGATTCGAAAGCTTACAATAAAAATAATCTATCACATAAATGAGACGCTAAAAGTTAATATTCGGACCCACATTATTAGTATTACTTAAAAAGTTAAGTCGTTCAAAGATCGCAATCTAAATGTTTTCTTATATCACTTGTTGCTGTTGTAGTTGACAACATCACCGAATAGTTTTGTAGAATACTGCCGAGTTGAGAAACTTCGACGGTTATAATTCCAGGTTCTATTGTTGTGGACCAAAGCAGTCCTCAACTTGGAACGCTTTCCATATTGCTAAGATATGTTTCGGAAATTTTTTAAAAAGTCAACTAATGAGCCTTAGAATAATCAGAGCTGAGTAGCTCATCGTCACCAGGTTGAAGTGGAACTGATGTGATAGATTCATACTCCAGTAAAGCCAATTATGACCGCTCCGATAACCAGTAAGTTATTTGGTATTTTGGTGCAGTAGTTATAGTTTCAGCTCTCCCTCCAACAACCAGGCAAGTGACTTTCTCCCCTGAGAAGAGTTGGCTTAATATTCGTCAGTCATTCGAAACACGCTTATATTTTATACAATCCACAATTTTTCGGCTAACATCAAAGCGCATACGACAAAAAAAGAAAACAATATGAGTCAATCAAAGTCCAGGAGTTGTATAGAGAAATTTAATTAGATAATTACTTATTATATAAATTTGAACCGTTCTCTAGTTTTCGTAGGTTATTTGAGAATCAGAAAACTTGTTTGGAAAGTTTGGAACTAAATGTTGGGTTTTAAAAAATGGGTTCTCATTTGTGGACATCGCTCAACACATTATTCAGATTGATTATTGTATTATGTCGTGGCATTCACAACTTTTATATTTCACATATAAAGTACATCTAAACTTCGATGTACTTGTAGTGTTCAAATTTTTTTTATTATATTTATATATATATTTTTTCAAATTTAAATCTCATTTTTTGTTATCACCTTCCAGCATACACTCACAGGTCACAGCGGCAAAGTGATGGCTGCCAAATATCTGCAAGAGCCAGTTAAAGTGGTGACTGGCAGTCATGATCGTACGCTGAAGATTTGGGATCTGCGCAGCATAGCATGCATTGAGACGAAATTCGCCGGCTCCAGTTGCAATGATCTGGTGACCACCGACAGTCTCGGCTCGACAATTATTAGCGGTCACTACGATAAGAAACTGCGCTTCTGGGACATCAGAACGGAGAAGCAGGCGGACGACATATTGTTGCCAGCGAAGATCACATCGATTGACCTGTCAAAGGGTAACATATATTATATATAGTATTGTATATTAAATTATTATTATTAACATTTTTTATTACCTTACAGATGGCTATTACCTAATATGTTCCATTAGAGATGATACAATAAAACTGTTAGATTTACGTAAAAATCAAATAATCGGATCGTTTTCGTGAGTTCGATTTAATTTGTCCTTAAAATAGTTCAACATTTTCACATAATATCGTTTTCTTGTTTTTGGTGTAGTCATGAAAATTTCAAACTCAGCTGTGATTGGGCGAGAGCCTCATTCAATACGTGCGGTTCGAAGGTGTCCTGCGGGTCAGCCGATGGTTTAGTTTATATTTGGAATGTCATGGGCGAATTGGAGGCGACGCTGAAGGGTCACACGTAAGTTGGGAATTTTGTATTCTATTTATTTTTTTAATGTTTTGGTATGATTTTTATTCATATCAAAATTTATTCATATAGCTTGATATTACTTTTATTTGTTTGCATAAGTGTATCACACTAACATTATTATACAATAGAAAATGTTTGTGGAATTAGTATTAACCCTACATTATAGTACCATAGACATTAATTATTATCGGAAGAATTGGGAAACTATTAATGCCGTTATTCGCGTATATATTTTTAAACTAAAATATAATGTTTTTATTACGTATTTTATTATTCGTATCGTTTAGTGATGATTACGATTCCGATCCGGAAATTTTGAGAATGGGTCTTAGAATCAGTCATAGTCATAGCAGTCATATCTTTTATATGCTCAAAATATACTATCGGTTTAAATAAAAATTACAGTTATTCGCAAGATTCGGTTTCAATTATCAATGGCAACTATCATTGGGGGAGATATTCACCAATTATAGCGATAATCCAACATTTACATAGACCTTTACCTCCATCGTTTAGCTCTACATTGTGGATAAATATCTACTAGACCTTTGAAAATAGCGGAAAGTGAAAAAAAAAACAAATAATAGTAAGATGAAACTCATTGAAAAAGGAAGAAAATATATGAAAAATTAAAGGAAAGAGGTCGGAAAGTAGTAGGGAGCAATGGGGTTAAGTTTTAAGGGTAAAAAAGGTTATATTTCAATCTTCGGCAAAAAATTTCCAAAAAGTACATGGACTTAAAAAAAAATTTTTTTTTTTAAATTTTACCTGAAATTTTTTGTAAAACAACATTTTTTGTGAAATAATAAAAAAAACCAATAATACGGTAATATGAATTTTCCACATAAATTTAGAGGATATGTGAAAAAAGACTAGTAATTTTTACGGAAATCAAGCTTTGTTTCATCCTACTATTAATTTGAAAGTTTCAAAAATTATCGACCGTGGTCTACTCGTATACACTGAACATAATTCTGATTTCTCAAAACAAAAAATTCGCTGGGGTGTTGTTTGAAAGCATTTCGTAATTCCAGTAAGGTTCTCTTCGAAAATAAAGATGTTATTACTCTGCATGTTGCTCTTTTGACTTCTTTTTACTGTCATCGAAAATAATTTTTTACTTTTTGTCATGTTACTAAAATTTTTAAATTTATGTTCTTTCTAGGTAAATAGTATTTTCATTATCTGTTTTGTTTTTGTTTTGCGCACATTTATTCTTGCGTACTAACACACCTAATTTGGCATTTACACCACACATACGATTTTTTGTTGCTTTTTTGCATTGCATTTTTTTTTCTTTTTTCTTCCATTTTTTGTGCTGGGTTTTAACCACTTCGCCCAAACACTTAACAGTTATGGTTCCGGTTTCTTTCACAGCTCGGCGGTGAACGCGGTCAGTTGGTGCCCCAACAGCAATGCGCTGGCCTCCGTGGGTAAAGGCAAACGCTGCATCATTTACACCGAATCGTAGCCACGGAACGAACGGCAATGACAGCCGATGAGGCGACAACAGCAACAACAGCGGCGCGGGTAGAGAAGCATAGCTAAGTGTCAGCTATTGTTTGGAAGCGGTTGCAAGTGGAATTAACCCTGTAAGCGAGCCGCAATTTGCATTGTAACAACAAAAATTAAAACCACAACAACTACAAAGTGTGAAAGCTTCAAAAAAGCAAAGGTGCGAGTGCGTGGGCGTTCAGAAGTTGGCGTTTTGGGGGGTGAAATCTGCAAGTAGTTTTTTTTTATATTTTTTAGTTATAAGTTATATTTGCCTACAGTGCAAAGTGGCAGAATAGTAAATTGTTGTGCAGCAGCAGCATACCCAAAGTCAATGTTTAAGAATTGTAACAATAACAATGCAAATAGTTACAAGTAAAGTGCGCTGAATTTATAAAAAAAAATTACTTTTGTATATGTAAAAATTAATTGTCAACTATAATAAGCAATTTTTTCGGTATATGTATATTTGCAATACTTTTTGTAAAACATATTGATAAATTTAATAACGTATTAGAAATTGCCAGGAGCAAATTAATTTTAATGTTTTAAATTTTATTTTAATTTAAAATTTAATGTGTATGTTTAATTTTTATCATTTGGATTTTTAAAATTTTTATAAAAATATAACGACTGCTTGTTGGCAGCTAAAATTGTATACATATATATATATAGTTTAATGAAAAGATTAAATTTACTAAAAAATTTAATAAAAACTTGTTTAGTTTTGGCATGGTCTACTAATGCGAATAAAAGTATATTTTCAAAAGAAAATACAAATTTTGATAACAAAAATTTACATTTGTTTATAAGGACGCAACAATAAGCAAAACAATATATCTGATTAGAAACAAATTTTACATTTTTATTATTATTATTTTTTTTTTGTAACTGCTATCATAACTTTTTTTATCTAAATCAAACATTTTCGAAATTTATTAAAGGAATTATTATCATAATATGTGATATATGTATAATATTATAATATTTTCTTGCGTTTAAGAGTATGTTAAAAAAGTTTCTTTTGCTACAAATTAAATGAATTAAAATTGCATTGACTAAAGAAATTAACGTATTTGATTATATTTGTTATAATAATACAACAATAAAAAAATCAATATTTCTGATTAAAGAAAAAAATATTAGAACTTATTTCTAAAAATGTATGTATTTTTTTAATTAATTAAAAAGAAGTACCAGAAAATAATAGAAAAAAACTACAGTTATGTTTTTTATGTTATCTAAAGAGAACTTTATAAAATTTATTAAATGAGTTTTTATTTGATACTATTTTTTTTTACTAGTAAATCATGCTCTAAAAGAATGTTTTTCAAACTCAAAATGTTGTTAGAAATTTGTTTACATTTTATCTGGCTACAGAAATTACAATAATGTTTGTTTATAAAAACACAACAACAAGAAAAACAGTATGCTGTCGCTTCAAATTTATTATTATTTTACTATTTTGCTAATTTACAGTTAAAAAATCTTTTTTTTCTTGATAAATTAAAAAGAAACGAAATACTAATGAGAGTCATATTTTGTGATAGCTTAAATTTTTTTTATCAAAATTTTTCAAAGAAATTTTTTTAACGAATTTTTTATATATTTTTATTTTAAAGTTTATCATTTTCGAAAGAAAAAAATATTTTTTTTTGATACATTATTAAATTATTTTTTTTTAATACAAAATTTATAATTATAATTTTTTTTAACTATACAACAATAAGAAAAATAATTTTTTATACTTTAAAAAAATTACATTACAATTTATACATTTTTGTTTGCTCTTTCAACAATTTTTAATACAATAAAAGTTATGTATTTTTAATTACTGAAAAAATGCAAGAAAAATTATTATAAAAAAACGACAGTGCTAATAAAATATTTTTCGCTACACACAAAGTTACTTTCCTTTAAGGACTACGCTGGCTTCGCAGGCGTGCAAATAAAACTGCATACAGTTGTGTATTAGCATATAACTACTAAAATACATACATACATATTTTAATATGCAAATGCATATGAGAAAAGCTTTTTAAGATAAATTGTTAATGGAGGGCAAACGCAAAACCGTGATTATGAGAGCATCACCTTTCTACACTGCTGTCAAATATTTTTGTATTTTCTTTTACAAATACACACACACACACATACATGCGTTTGCAATGTATGCTAATTATAAGCTAATATTTTATGCATAATATTAATTGTTTTTGATTACCATAAATTTAAACATACAAAACATACACGTACATATAAATAAATAAATGAATTTGTTTATTCTTGTAATCGTAAAAGTCAGTTTGTAAGTTCGAAATGATAAGTTTTTGTAATACATAATACATACATACATATGTATATACATATGTCATGATAATATTTTTATTTGCCATTTTGTAAGAGCCATTTCAGGGTTAAGCACTACTTGATTACAATAATAAATAATTATACATACTAAATGTATAGCATAATATGGCAACACTTGAATCTTTATTTTTTAATTTTATGGCGGAGATGTCTAGGAAGGTTTATTACACATTGTGTATAAAATGTGTAAATTTTATAATTGTATTACTTATATGGTAAATATAAGTTCTGTTTAGAAATTTTAAAGTGAAATTGTTTTGATAAATTTTGATTGTTCAAAATAAATAAATTAATACAATTTGTGGAACTCAAACTTCAAGAAGTAAAAGGCAACAAAAAATATATTTTCGAAAAATATATCTTAAAAAACATAATTATTCTAGATTTTATTTGAATGAAATATAATTTTTGAATACATAAATGCGCACTGTAATAGAAGCACAATTTTGATTAGACCTTTTAAAGGTAAAGATGTGGCCATTTTAAGAACTCCTATCATTCTATCCGATACTTTCAAACATCATGTGATTTCTGCCTTCAGGCTTCTTACCGAAATATACGAAACACATGAAAAAACGTTAACATCGGTTGCACCAAATGCATTTTATATAGCATAAAGTAGTAAAAAAAAATATTTTTCTCGATTTAAATCGGTCAGTGTTTTTACAGCTACATGTTAAAGTGCTTCGATCTGAACAATTTCTACGGAGATTGCATTTTTGCCTTAGAGAATATTCCATGCCGAATTTCTTCAAGATATCTCGTCAAATAACAAAATTTTCCATATAAGCACTTGATACCGATAGTTCAGTTTGTATGGCAGCTATATGCTATTGTGGTTCGATATCGGCGGATGCGACAAATGAGCAGTGTCTTGAAGAGAAAAGGACGTGTGAAAAATTTTTGGTCGGTATATCAAAAACTGAGCAAATAGTTTACATATAAAGAGACAGACGGACGCACAGACGGGCATGACTAAATCGACTAAGCTCGTTATATACATTGTATACAAATTTTATGGGTCTCCGATATTGCCTTCTGGGTGTTACAAACATCTTGGCAAACTTAGTATACCCTGTTCAGGTTACAACTATGCGTAAGGTTTTGGGATGTGAATAAAAATCAAACTTGCAGATATCTAGAGTTACAGTCTACGAATTGCTTTGCTTTACACAATAGAAAAACTCCCTTTGCGATTTAAAAGTAATTCACATTCCCTCAGAAACAATGCTGTCCCCGAATTTCCAAAAATCGATCACATATACCAGTGGAAGTGATTGAGAGGGTGAAACATTTACGCCAAAGTTATTTTCTCAAAATGAACTCAATGACCTAATGCGTGATCAAGCTTGGAGTAATAAAGACGTTTGTCAAAGCGTTGGACGTCGAAGGATATTGTTGTCATTGCATGTGTTTTCAACACACATTTGCTAAGCTTAGCATGAAAAAGTGGATAAGTGGAATATGTGACCGTACTCAAATATGGTAATTAATAAAAAAGCAAGATTTGTTAGTACAATATTAAGTTACAATATCTCCGCTCGGATCCGAAAACATTTTCGTCACGCTAAGCGAGCCATTATTTTGGTAATAAGTTTGCACTATTTGCAAACGTTGTTCCGGAGTAGGTATGTTTATTATGAAATGGCAAACCAAACTGGGTTATATCATGTAACAGCTGTCACAAAGACAAACCCTGAAAAAAGTATTTTCTCTTTGAAAACCAAATGTCTAAAAAACATTCGTTATATATAATTTTGTGAAAAGTATGGTAGTAGGGTATCCACAAGAAATGTTAACAGAGGTTGGTATTTGACCAGAGGCTTTGCTCTCATCATAAAATAATATTGAGTTGAAAGCAATTTTTCCAAAAAAAAAAAAATTCAACTACATTCCGTTCACATAGAAGAAGTCTTTCCTATATACAATCGAGTCACGAATGTTATCTTTCCACAAGTTAAAAAATAAATAATAAAACTCAACACAAATAGGTTATTCTCATCGACACAAATAGCGCATTGGATTGTGTGCTTCACTCAACTTTAATTTATTTTCAATTATTAAACAGAATAGTGTCTTGTGTAGACACTTTTTATGCTTCCTGTTGTACTCTACAAAACACACACACATTCGCAAATGCATGCAAGCAAACGCAAAACCACTGCTAATACACAAAAGTGTTAAAAGAACACTTTATTGCTAAAAAATTTATATATTTAGACTTTATTTTTATTACTTGCAACATGTAGTGCATTGCTGCAACATTTTAATTAAATTTGTACCTGCTTGTAACGTTATCTCTGTTGCATTGTTTCAAACACCTGCTCGCTTGCGTAAACTGCAAGCATGCCTACCGCTATCTTTATACTTATATATGTATATATATATACAAGTATCTATATCGATGCAAAACAATTGCTGTACGCACACCATATCTGCTCTGATCTAATAGATAGCGCAAAATTTACAATGCAGATAAGTTTACAGATTAGTCCAAGCTGCACATGCGCACAAAGCTTAAGCCTCGCTCAATCATTGCGAACGTTGTGGGAAGCGCGTTTGAAGCACTGAATTGAAAAAAAAAACGAAAAAAAAACAGTTGCAATGCAGAGCAGCGGCTCATTGCAATTAGAACGATGTTGCCGCAAATGTTGCAGCTGTGTGGGCCACGCTGCCAATAAATGTTGCTCGCTCGCGTTTTTTCGGTTTCTGTGCATCACTTTTCGCTTTTGCAGCTGCGTGCGTTGGTTGTTGGCGCGCAAATTGATTGAAATGTTCGAAATGCATCGGTTGTTGCAACATCTGCTTGAGTAGTTGAACACTAATAGACCTTGCATTGTACTGAGTTATTAAGTAAATCTGCTATTAAGTTGTATTCTTTTCATTTTTAGTATAATTGCGTGTAATGTTGCGTTCTTTATGGCAACTGCATTCTCACGCGCTTCTCTTGCAAGCGTGTGGCAGTAAATTAATACAAGCGTATGAAAAATTGGCCATTCGGTATTGCGTTATGACTGTAAATAATTATTTTTAAACTGTGTAATAAGTAACGGTACATAATTTTAACGTAATATTTGCAACACTTTCATTTGCAACTTGCGCATAAGCAATGAAGTGAGCGTAATGCAACAGCAACTTGCCGGTAGTACACTCAACATTTTAGTCTTTTTTATTTTACACTGCCCAGATCGGATCATAGCATATAGATGCCATACTAACTGAACGCTCAATCAAGTCTTGTAGGGAAAGCTGTTTTATTTGACGTGGTATCTTCAAGAAATTTGACAGAGATTATTACCCAAAGCATCGGTACAAACGCTAAAGAAATTATTTAAATCAAACTACTATATTTCAAACCACATCACAATTTCCAAACCTATTTTTCAGATCGAATCGTTATAGCTTATAAATGCCATCCAAACTGACTTATCAAAATCAGAATAAAAATCTCATATATATCATATACCTTTTTATGCACTAAAAATCCAACTGCGGAAGAAGTTAAGGTTTTTTCAAATTTTTTTTTCAGGTTTAACACAAAATTTTACATTTGCTCTTAGTGAAAATGGCAAAATTGCACACATTCGCTTCTATTGAAATGTCTCTAACGTGAACTTACGTGCGTTTGCTGCAATGACATCTAAATGTTCTAAACAATCATAATTTTTGCTTAAATTATGTAACAAACTAGAGTGAGAAGACCTTAAAAATTTAAATGGTTACTGTTGAGCTTTCTTGTAAGAAATTATATCAAAAATAACTTATAAAGTCTTGAAAAATATTTGAGAGCATAAAAATATCAACTGCTATCATTTTTGAAGTTATGAAAACTTTTAAAATTTCATAAATAACGTTTTAATTTCATAAATAAACAAACTATCTAAAAAACTGATTGATTTTAAAAGTTCTTATACGAGTTCGAGTTCGTTGCTAAAGTCTTTAGGTAATCAAAATGAGGTTTGCTGCTTATGTCTTCTTAGCGCTCAGGAAGTTTGCTGTTTAAGTCTTTTAAATTCACCGAGTTCGTTGCTTAAGTCTTCATTTGGTTTATTGCCGAACTATTCAAGAGTTATAAATATTTAAAATCCACATCTTTTTTGCAAAACCATATAAAACAATAAAAAGCGTATGCCTGTGCTGGTAGGTATAATTATTTGAATTAAAAAAAGAAAAAATTAATATAAAACTACCCACCTTCTGCGGTTATTGAAGTACACTTAAATTTTTCTTAAATGAGTAAGACCTTTTAAGGAGTTTCATCATATATTTCAATACATTTACATTTATAGACATATAGGAGCATATAAAAAGCTAATTTACTACCAATGCAAACTTGCAACCAAGTTCGCGCTCATAAAACAAAGGGTTTCTTGCGCAGCCATCTTTGCAAAGTGTTTTATGGCCCTTAAAGTGCTTAAGTGGAAGCGTAATGCTTTATGTTGCCGCAATAAAAGGGAAGTTAGCAGCAAAGTGAATTACTTCACACGAAGCTACTGAACTGATATCGGTAAGCAAAGACTAATTTTATGTGTCGTAATTCGAGCAGCATTATATAAGAGCTCATAGGTTCGAATTGGTCCGAAGTAAGCAGTATTGCAATAGAGAGGAACCTTGGAAAGCGAAAGTATTGCATAAATGAATCGTATGCTGGCAAATTCAACATGTGGAATGACTTTGTTCTTACTAGAACAGTTCAGTCCTGCAAAGTTAGTCTAATGCATAAAAGTGGAAAACTTCGTTAAACATAAATATTCGTTTGATTTTTGGTTAACTTATTTTGGGGTTGAGAAAGTGTAAAATAGAAATTTGTTATTATGTTATTATTATTCAGTGAGTGAGTTCTCTTTACTAATATCACACTCACTTTTTAAAAATCATCCAAAGAAATAAATTAAATTTGGTAAGAGAGCATACTGATTAGCCATATAAACCCTATTTTTCTTTCGTCAGTTCACTTAATTCGCTTTCTCTTGTTTTAAAATTTACTAAATTAATTTATCATTCCAAGAATATGCATACATACAGTGTCTACCCAAAGGAACGCCGTGATGTTGAAATGAAATAAAACGCTTACATTTAGTTAAATTGGGTTTCGTTTTTTTTTTTATGTTATGAGATAA